GGGCATACTCTCATAAAGCAATCAGTGTATCTTTGACCATGCCTATGCTTAAACAATTCAAAATTAAAAAAATAAAATAAAATTTCAAAATATAAACTTAAAAACATAATAATTAGGAAATTATATCTGAGTCTATTTATCATCATTTTTCCACCTTTTTTTTTATTAGTTTTTGCATCTTTTAGTTTAGGAATCCATATTGCTTTGTTTTTTGGATTTTGTTAAAACATATTACTTTTTTTTGCAGGAACTAAACACATGAGCCATCCTGGTAGTTTTACTAAACACAAAAACGACATCATCATAAATTATATCTTTTGGAGTGACAGTCATTACTCTCTCAAAGATTCTAAGAAAGATCTACTTAGTTCTCAAAAGAAATCTACCTAGTTCTCAAAGTTTTCAAAAGAAGAAGAAGTACTAAATTAGACCACAATGTCTGAAATGTATTTAGAAAGTGAATACTGTTAAATCAGGTGAATGCAGCTAAATCAAGGTGAATCCTGTTAAATCAAGTTTTATTAGCATTATTAAATTTTTATATTCATTTGCATCTTTAATAAGAAGTTTAACATTGCTTTTGGCTTCATAAAGAAAAAAACATGTTAAACATGGAGTAGATTAAAAATAGATTTATCAAATAGCCATCAACAATATAACTCAAAAAAGCTTAGCTGAGCGAGGTTTAAAGGAAAGAAAATTTTTATATGAAAAGAAAACTACTGCTTTATATGGTCCACATTCTTTGACCTAATTTATGCAATTACCTTTGATTTTTGGAAGAACCTTTATTGTCCAAATAATGCTACTTAAGACACATTATAGGTTAAAATTTTTCATTGTACACATTACCTGCCAATTAACAAAGTTTTCCTTTATCCCTTTAATAAGTAAGAAGGAAAAAAGAATCTAATGATGTTACAATAATCTTGCTACACTACTTCACCGAAATCCTGTCTACAGAAGTCACTCACCAATAACTCTTTTGTTGAATAAAAATTGGAATGTGCTGCAATCTCCACTACATGGTATTCTATTAAAAAAATGAAAATATTAACTTTTCCTATTAAAGGATACTCTTAAATGTGGTGTGATTGAGACATGATCTTGATCAAGAAAAAGCTTCATATAGACAAACCAGCCAGCTGGCAATTTATGAGATGTCACTTTGTGTGATGAAATGTGATGTGATGAATGTGGGAAAAAAATATTCTTTTTCATATAATTTCAGTTTAAAATACAAAGTTTAAAATACCATGCTGCTAAATATAAAAAGTATCAAATGAAAAATTTCAGTTTAAACCATGCTGCTAAATATAAAAAGTATCAAATGAAAAATTTACTTGTTACTTAAATTCAAAGTCAATCTCAGCCACTTTAAAAACATGCATTTTTAAAAACATACCAGATAAACTAGTTTATAGAAACAGGCCATTAGTTGGGGCTATTAAACCAGTTAAAATAAAAGAAAATACTATTGGATTCCCTTTTTTAAACAGAGTCTTTAAAAATAGACCTTATACTTTTTACTATGAAGTATAAAGACCTACAATGTTTAAAACATCAAGATAGACAAAAAATAATTTTATGACTATCTTCCATATGAAAGAGAAGATCATCATACTGAGAAGCTTTTTTTACTGATGACAATATCTTTCTTATAAATCAAGGATAATAAATAAAAAATTATAACATTTACTATCTGTAAAACATGTGAAAACTCTTAAATAAACTTCAGAACAAATTGTTATTAGGTTGGTTAAAAAGTAATGAGCGCTTTTTGCAATTAAATTTATTAATCATAATTTCATAACTTATCTTCAACAATATATGCACTAGAGTGTTTAAAAAAAAAAACACTTTTAAAATCTGCTAACTGCCCTTTCTTGTAGATTTAAAATTTTTTTAATAAAAAAATTTTAAGAGGTTGCTCATAACCCTTGAATATTCAAAGAGTCTCTAATAATAATAATAAAAAAAAATACTTTTAAGGTACATTTTGTAGGGTCTCAAAACAAGCAAAATTATAAAAAATCTATAAAATAACAATAGAATGAAAGAAATATTCAATGAAAAAGCAATCATATCATGAAAAAAGAAGAATGAATTTATAAAATTTATAAAAGTAACTAGTAGATTCCCCCAGGATTTAGTTCCTGGCCCAACTTTGTTGCTGATATAGATCAATGATTTTCCTGATTGAGCTGTATCTTTATTTGCAGATGATACTAAGTTATACAAATTACTTGCTGATAGCTAATCATGCAATAACCTGCTCATCATGCAATAACCTGCAAAATGATATGGAGATTATAACAAACTGGCAAAATTATGGAAACTATATTTTAATGTCAAAAAATGTCAATTTATGCACTCAGGACCGTCAAGTGAAAAATTTCATACACAATACAAATCTTAATTTCTCAATTAATTTAAAAAAGTCAAAAAAAAAAAGTTTAAAAAAAGTTGTCTTAGTCAACTGTAATTTAAATTTTTCTACTTGTGTAAATACTAATGTTAACATAGTAGAGGCTTACAAAATATCAATAGTTAATCGAAAACGTTCTATATTCTAGTAAAACTGTTCTTGGCCTGTCTGGTCTCACTAATAAACACAGATTAGTAATTTTAACTAGCACGAACTGTCATTTCTTATGTAATAACATGGTAGAAATTTATAAATGCAGCTTTAAAGTATATTTACAACCCTTTACTGTTCTCATTAAACGCCATACCGCAGTTTAGTCTCAGTGCCACTAATATATCCGTTCATACCACTCCTGATTTTAAGTAAGACACACATGCTGAAAAATTTTTTTCAGAGTTTTTTTTTCTATAAATTTGTGAGAGTCACAAATTTATAGAAAAGTCTTCTTTCTGAAATAGTATGTTAAACATCTGTCGCAGTATTTAAATAATCTAGATGTTTATTGGAAACATCAAATGTACAAGTGCATATAAACAATTTGATCAGTATGAATGAAAAAAAGGTTGATAGGCTTGTTAACTGAGCTTAATTATTCTATTTGTAAAAACTTATAAACTCAGATAATAATAATAATAATAATAATAATAATAGTAATAATAATAATAATAATATAGACATTTTTACAAAATATTTAATCAAAATATCTCGCAAAAATGCTCTTTTTTATTTTTAGTCAATTTCTATACAGTAAAATCTAAAATAATATTTTTTTTATATTACGATTATTTTTGAAATTTTTATATTATTTTCTACTTGATTATTTGAAATTTAAATATTCTTTCTGATGTAAAAGTTGATAAATGTTTTTATTACAAGGTTATGCAAAATTATAAAGTGCTTTATGCAAAATTATAAATTGTTTTATGCAAAATTATAAAGTGCTTTATGCAAAATTATAAAGTGCTTTATGCAAAATTATAAATTGCTTTATGCAAAATTATAAATTGCTTTATGCAAAATTATAAATTGCTTTATGCAAAATTATAAAGTGCTTTATGCAAAATTTCGAATCGTTTAATAAATCCATTTAAAGCATAAAAAAGTTCGAATATATGATTTATTTATATATAAGCTCATGTCATTTAACATTTAGACTTCAAAAAAATTATATTAATTTAAGCAACTACTTTATTCAAAAATCATGTTTTGTTTAGATTTTTCCAACCATCGCTCCATTGATCTCCAAAATCCACTTAATTCTTCGTTAATTTCACGCATTCGATTAAAAATTATTTCCAATGCATCTCTAATATTAATTTCATTATTTAAAGCTTTTATTCCGCAATATCTTGCCTTTATCATGCTAAAAAATTCCTCAATGGGATTTAATTTAGGAGACCATGCCGGTAAATATTCTCTATTTATTCTTAATTCATTTAAAACTTCTATAATACTTCTTGATCTGAGAAATGGAACATTATCCATTATCAGTATATGGTCTGGGTTTTGTCGGAAATAATTAAACAGGTTATTTCTTATAAATATTTCAAAGCTTTCAGCATTATTAGCTCCAGTTCTTAATTCATAAGCAACCACACCAGAAATATTTATTGCACACATCAAACTTCGATTTGTATTTCTGTTTCGGGAAACAATGGAATATGCTTTTTCATTTTTTTGGGAATACCCATATCGTCTTCTCAAATGCTGATTTAATCCTGATTCATCTAAAAAGACCAATTTATCACTAGAAATATGTGAGATACGGCGGGCATATATGGCCCTTTTTTCAATATTTGCTGGGGAATTTTGTTCTTCGGTAACCAGTGAAAGCTTTTTTCACGTTATATTTATTTTCCGCAATTTCCTTGATACTGTTGATTGAGATATTACCATACCGGTTGCTGCATTAACTTAATTTACCATTTCATTTTGTGTCAGTTCATTATTTATTGCTATCGTATTAAATAAAGTATTTTCGATTTCACTGAACAACAAATTTTTGTTTTTGATTGTTTGCTTGTGGCGTTCTCCCTTAGTAGCAAATTTGATGCCTTCTTGATGATTTCTTATGCAGTTTCTTACAGCACTTTGGCTAATGTTTAAAGTTTCGACAATGTATTTGGTTGAATGATTATTTATCGAATTAGACATGTTTTTAATTGTTTCATGAATTTCCTTAGTTATCGTTATGCGACTTTTTTTTGCCATGTAAGGTTTTAAATTTTTATTTTTTAACATTATTTAAAAAAACTTGCATTAATTAGATAAAAACATTACTGATTTGGTTTATGTTTTTCAGCCAGTTAGTCATTTAATTTTTAACTACAATTTAATATTGTATTTTAATTCCTATGCATTCTTAGATGATTCTGAAAATGACCTGTACTATTATAATGACATTTATTTATTGTTAAATAAAGCACTTTATAATTTTGAATAAAGCACTTTATAATTTTGCATTAAGCACTTTATAATTTTGCATAAAGCACTTTATAATTTTGCATAAAGCACTTTATAATTTTGCATAACCCGGTAATTTATATGTATATAAATAGCTGTAAAAAATTACCTGTGTCTAATAAAACCTTAGTGGCTGCTTCAAGATCATCATCTTCAAATTTATCAACATTACATTTGAGTGATTTGCCAATTTTTATGAAATCTGCTCGGCTAATAATTGGAATCTCACCATTATTTTCTTTTGCATTTCTTACTTTAATAATCTCTGCTTCTAATTTTTGATAACTCTGTGGAACCAGCATACCCATTATCTTAGCACCACCTGGTTTTCCATCAAATGTCATACTCTCTGCCAAAAGATAGATTTGTGTTTTGAGTGAATCAATATCTGTAAAATAATTAAGTAAAAATTTAAATGAAATTAATAAATTTAAAAAATCTCAATAACTAAATTATCATTACATTAGTTAATTTAAAAAATTATTTTAATTTATTATAACTTATTAATATAATTAATTATTATAATTAATTAATTATTATAATTAATTAACTATTATAATTAATTAATTGTTATAATTAATTAACTATTATAATTAATTATTATAATTTATTAATTATTATAACTTATTATAATTATTATTATAAATATGATTATAAACTACTTTAAAAAAAATTTGATAAACAATTAATGTAATTTACAATAATTACGACAAACATTAACATAATTATGTAACTATAACAAACTTTTATGTAAAAACAACTAAAAAATTTGTTTACTAATTTTTTTATTTTTGCAGTATCTCAAAGACCAAAAAATGCTGGATTTGCCCTTGTATCTGATAGAGCCTGTGATGCATAAAATTATGACTTAGAAAAAATTAAAACTTGTTTGTTCTACTTAAGAAGATTTTTGAAACTTATTATAAATTAAAATATTTCTGATAATTGGAGAAAAGTTCCAAAGGAAATCTGCAACTATCTTTTAAAATCAATGCAAAAAGGATGTGCTGCTTGCAAAAAAGCTAGGGAGATGTTTTAAATACTAGCTTAGATGTTATCTTTGTTGCTTTAATTTTTATAACTTTTATTGATAATTTTTGTTATCATGTTTGAAAACATTTTTATATACAACTTTATGTTTAAGTATGGCATTTAAGATGCAAGATTTGTTTAAAAAAGATTTTTCTTACAAGTATAAAAAAAATTTGTTCAATACCTTCTTTAGTTTATATTTTTTGGTAGTTTAAATATGCTTTAAACAAAAAAGTTTTACTGTGCCTATTTTTTTGAAAGTACTGTATGTGGGTATGTATTTGTGTGATAATAACATATAATTAAAAATGTTTATTTTAGTTGCGATTGTCATATCTTTATATATGCATAAAAAAAATCAGTTTCCAGATGTTCTGCTGAAGGAGAAACTATAATTAAAACTCAAACCATATTTCATTGTAGTGATTTTTCAACTGTTAATTGCCATTGTTGTTATATTTTATTCTAGATCTGTTTTTTTGATTGGTTAGCAAAATTCGATCTAGGTATTTATAAAAGTACTTATAAATTTTTTGGTAAATTATGTATGGCTTTGTTGCATTTTCAAGTTTATTATATTACTAATAAACTTGAAATATTATATTACTATTTCTTATCAGCTATTAGTGCAATAAGTACTAATTTTAATAACTTGTTGTGTTTGTAATTAAAGTTGTTGTTTATTTAAAAGTACTTAATACATTAGTTGTATACTTGAGTATTTTATGGTTTTCTATTAGAAAATGATATTTTTATTATTCTTTACCATTTATTTAGGATTTTTGCTGTTTTGTAATGATGTTATAAATACTGCAGTATAATATAAATACTGCAGTAGCAGGCATAAATCACAGGGTAAAGAATAAATGGCAATGATATTTATCTGATAAGATAAATTTGTCATTCGTGCTAAGCCTCTTTGAAGCGCCTGTAACAATAAATGCAATTCTGAGAAGTTAATAAATACCACTAAATAAATTTTGTTTACACAAAAGCAATAATATTTTTCCTTTATTTTATACCACATTATGTTGGATTATTTTTAATTGTTTTATTTATACATATACTATAAGCCCCTGGCCACCAGACCTATGTTATTTTATAAAAGCTAAAAATTTCTCAGTGCATGGGTCCAACTAAAGTAGGAACAATGGTCAATTATGTAATTTAGATCATGGTGGCTTTAGCTGGTAACAGCCACCAAAGTGTTTAGAATACCAGCAAAAATTTATCAAATCATAAAACATAATTGATTTAAAGCATAAACTGATTTAAAAGCTAAAACTCTTATCTAAAATTTCCTTGCCTCCAGCTTTAAGTCTGCTGCCTTGGGGATCTTGGATTGAGTGAAAGCTAGAAACGGTGTTTTGAAAAAAAAAATACACAAACTAGGCAGACCTGTATGAAGCTAAAATTCCCATGCTTTGGGAATCTTTATAAAAACTTAAAAAGGTGTTTTGATAGAAATACTCATCTTGAAAAGATGTTAACAGCATCCAACTAAATATTTCCCTGTTTTAGGGCTCTTGGTTGAGTAAAGGCTAGAGATAATGTCTTGATAAAAATACTTATCTTGAGCAGATGTTAACTGCATTCAGCTGCTGTATTGTAGGAGGCCTCCTAGGCAAAGACATTCAGGGTAAACAAAATACTTCTGCTGACCAGAAGTATTTTGCTTACCCTGCAAAATACTTCTGGTCAGCAGAAGTACTTTGCAGGGTAAGCAAAATACCCCTTTTTCATCTATTATGCTAGTATAGAGTAAACCTGTGTTACATTGTTTCCTAACTAAGATGCAGGATCATAAACTCTAATTATAAATTTATGCTTGATAATTGCTTAGCAACTCTTCCTGTTATTTGCTAATAAGGTTACAGCTCTAAAACTCAGTTTAATGAAACCAGCTTGTAGTAAAGTTTCCTGGACTCTGTGGTAGCTTTCAGAGAGATTGATTCCATTAACAGCTAAAAAAATACCAAAGTATTAACACTGCCAAGGTTCACATGGATGGTGTCCCTGTTAATGCTTTTGGTGTCCATGTCGAGGCCACATAAGAAGCCCTTAGTTACTAACTAATAACTAATTTTAACTAATATATGACTTCGGGTTAATTAACAGGACTGAGACAAATACAAAGCTCATTGCACTGGGATACTGTGCTCTATCATTTATTATATCTATGAATATCATATACATGAATGAGTTGAGTTCTCTTTAAGCGTTATTCATGCCAAATATAACCCAAAATATTAAACATAAAAAACCATCCCCACAACATATTTGTTTTAATATTTTATTTATAATTATTCATAATCATAGAAGTAACCTTTCATAAGTGGAACCTCTTGCAAAACTCACCAGACTTATTTGCTCTTTGTGAGACTAATCTAAATTCGGCTGTTCCTTCTTCAGATCACAGTACTGATATGTACTATTCTTTAATTCTTAAAGACTCGAATAATCACATGTTAGGCTCAGAAGTATACTTATGAATCAATTTATCTATTTGTAAAGAAATCAAATTTGAATCCTTAAAGTCTTCTGTTTAGTACCTTTTCACTCATTAACTTAAAATTAATATTTGTGTCATTCCATGCCAAGTGGACCAAGGTCCAACATGGACACCTCAAATTTAGATGAAACTTGGTGGGTTGGTTTATTTTACTCTTTGAAATTTCAGCATAAATTATTTTGTGGCTAATGAGATAAAAACTTTATTAGCCAAAACATGTTTTGTTAATACTTTGAAGCTTTTAAAAAAATCTCAGTAAAAAATTATGGACTTCTAAAAATGGCTACAACCAAAGAAAATGAGCCTACATTTTAAACCATTGGTAAACTAGGATCAACACAGGTTTTAATAAGACTTTTTTTATGCTGATTTAATAGACTATTTTAGTGATTTCAGAAAAAAAAATAGTGGGTACTTATGTAGAAGTTACAAAATCAGAACACTGAAATTTGCACAAAATGCAATAAAAACAATAAAAACAGAGTTATTATTGTACTTTTTTTTTTTTTATTATTGTACTTTTGTACGTTTGTATTATATATTGTAATATTAGTAGTAATAAATTTAAAAGTATTTTATAATCACTACTAGAAATAAGTCTCAAATTAAGCCTGAATTAAACTCAATTTTTAATTATACCTAGCTTCTCCCTGATCATCCTCCCTGTCTATTTACTTTTTAACAAGAACTTAGAAAAAAATTGTAATTAAACACTTCTCTTTACTCAGTGTTTGGTTTTATGTTTGATGCATGAAGTGACTTCAAACACAAACAAAGAATTCAATATATGAAAGCTATGACATAAAAGAAAAGCAATTGAGTGTTCTTTTTATATCTTTATTTTATATATATATATATATATATATATAATTTATCATTTCTTATTTGTTTGTTGTGCCAAAACTTATAAAAACCTTGTTTGTTTTGTTTCAAAACTTGTATTTAAATCTTTTTAGATAGTAGTTAAAAATAAATGCCAAGCGCATCGTTAGATCTATCCCAATGTTGCATCAGAAAAGCATTAAATAAAGATTGCCATGAAATAAAAATTTTTCAAAATCAAGAAAATTAAATGTTTTGAGAAATTAACAGAAAAAGATCAAGAACTTGTGCACTTGCAATATGAAGTAAATCATATTCAAACTATTTGTAATCACCATGAAAAGGTCTCCTTGAATAGATTTGAGAATTCGTATGAGGAAAGCTTTTGTTGAGATTTATTCGACAAACACAAAGTTAAATTAAATTTAAAAATAAATTGACTTGATTAATTTTTAAAATAATGGCTCTTTTAATGTTTTATAATTTTGTTACTTTTTAGAATCTTTTTAGAACCACAGTAATCAGTATGAATGATTACTGTGGTTTATTAATTATTCCAGTGTTAATTAAGGATGAACCAAAAATAAAAGAGCTGTGTTTGCAAAAGTAAACAAGACTTGGACTCATTAATGGAATTCATTAAGGTAAAGTTTGATGTTTTTTCAAAATCAGAAAAACTTAAACTACTGACTTTGGTTCCTGAGAATTGAAACATTAATTATACACAAAACTACTTTTCTGCTTCCCTAAAAATGATAAAAGTTGCAAGGTATTTGAAACAAATGCATAGCATAATGGCAGAACCATCAAAGAGGAAGATCTATTAATGAGAAAGTAAAAATCAAGATTCTGAATTTTACTAGTCAATTAATACTCTTAAATGTGTTCAGGTTAGTAAACAACTGGGGTTGATATTTGATAAAATATCAACTCCGATATTTGATAATATATCAACCTCAATATCGAATTTGATAAAATATATCAGATACAGAGGCCAGTTTGTGACCGGGTCAAATAAACATTTATACATATTAAAATATATTTTTTTTATTCAAAACTCATGTTATATTTTGTATATATATGCATACATAAACATCATTATGATCAACAAGATTATCATAATCATCGTTATTATCATGATGATGATGACCACCATCATCATTATCATCATGATCACAATCATCATCACCATCAACAGCATAAAATAGGAATGCTGCTGATGATGATGATTATCATCATTCAGGCTTGATCATGGCTCATCATCATCAGATCATCATCATCATCATGATCATTATCATAAGCTTCCAAACCTTTATCCTTCCTCTTTTATTTTGTTTCACTAATATAATTAATCTAGAGCATTTTTTTTTCTAAACTAAAGCTAATTCATACAACATGTAAGGCACTCTCTTTAAGTTTTCTTACTAACACTACCATTTTCTACTAAAACTGGTACCTCTCTACATGCTGATGCCTAAAATACTTTAATCTTTTCTAAAAAGCGTTGTTCGATGATGACAATGCTCTAAAAAACGTTGTTTTTTCAAATCTGTCTAAGAATATGCCTTTTTTTTTTATCTTACTTGAGTCACACCATGTATCCATTGATCCTCTACTCTTTTGGCTAATATTATTTCATATGAACATACAGGGACAAACCCAGAATTGTTTAAAATCACTTTAAAAATTATTAACCTTTAGTAAAAGTTAATTGAACAGATTTGCTAATATTTAAATCTATTATAAAATATATTTAAATAATTTTTAAATATATTTAATTAATTAATTTAATTAGTAAAATTTATAAAATTAAAATAATATTAAATACGTTTATTAAATGCTTATAATTTTTATTTGAATAGTAACTTGAATAGAAAACATAAAACTATTTTGTTAATTTTACAAATAATATGTGATTTAATATATGCAAATATATTATGTAATGTAAATATTGATAAAAACTGTTTAAAGTATTTAATCATTTAATCACTATTTATTTAAAACATTATTAACTAATAAAATTGAAATTACTAAAATATAATCAGTAAATGTTTAAAATACTTTGAACAATTTTCAATAATTATTTACTAATAGCGTGATATTTGATACAAAAGCGTTTAAGTCTTTAGTAAAATAGTTTTCTTATCGTAACTACACTTTAACCTTGTCTTACAAGTGTTCTCTAGAACTCTCTCAATTCTCTCTATTAACTATTTAATAAATGCTTGACTGAGTCTTGCTTTCTTGCTCAATTAAAAATGGCATCTGTGATTCCAATTTTTAAAAACTCTGATAATATTTTGACCCCTTAAACTGCTGAACAATCAATCTTCTTTATGTTATTAACAAGGTCTTTAAGCCTTTGATCAACAAATTTCTAACATCAGAGTCACCTTGAGTCAAATGACTTACTGTCATACAATCAGTATGATTTTTGACCTTCTTGCTCTAAGGTTGACTTGCTAACTGATGTGGCTGAAAGATGTTATTATGAATTAGAAAGAGGCAATGAGGCTAGGGCTACTGCTCTTACCTAAAACTTTTGATAAAATTATGCATACTGGTCTTCTCAATAAGCTTGACAACTCAACATTATATTCTTATCTTGATAAAAAGTCTTCTGTTTTTCATTGCTTCGAACAGGCAGCAATCTTGAATCTGATCTCACTTCGGAAACAGATTAGAGCTTGCAGTGGATTGTGAATTTGAACTCCAACAGAACTAAGTTATTTATTACTATATTGATGAATGACAATCCTCTTACTGAGTCCTCTTACAGTATTGAATAAAACATTTGCAACCAAATATCGAACTATGCTAAAAAGTGTTCCTAATTTTATATGTCTTAAAAATGAAACAAACTATATTACCACAGCAAACAGTTCAGGAGTCTGGAGTCATAGCATGCCATGACATGAGCAATCAGCTGACAAGTGACAGCAAACAGGCAGAATGCCATTTTGCAGCGGACAAAACAAGTGCAACTTTTTTGGTTTGTTTCATTTTCTTAAGTCTGGTCCTTGTCAACGTCACGGAAATTTTTTAATAATTAAAGGAAGTATCCAGAAGTATGAAATTACGTAAGTGGAATGTCACAAATTACGTAAGTGGAATTATTACGTAATTACATAATAATTCCAATTAATACTTAACAATTCCACAAATTATGTAATAATTTCACAAATTACATAAGTGGAATGTCACGATTACATAAGTGGAATGTCACAAAAAAGCATTTGTGATAAATATCACGTGGAAAAATGGACCATATCAAGACTATGTTTCAAATATCGTTCTACCGGGAAGTTGGCAGCAGATAACAAAGGTGGAAGAGTGCGTTCAACCTCTTCTAGAGAGGATTCTATGATCATCAGATTTGTCAAGAAGGATCCTTGGATATCATCGAGATAAGTAATTAGAGCTGCCTGTATCGGACCGAAAAATCAGACATGCTGTTGAAGCCGGATTGTTTTCTCGATGCCCTGCAAAGAAACCGCTGATTTCACTGAAGAAACAGAAGAAAAGACTCCTATTTGCTACATCTCATATTGACTGGAATGTGAAGAAATGGCGAACTGTCCTGTTTAGTGATGAATTGAAGTTCAACATCATTAGGAACGATGGCATTTGACGTGTATGTTGACCGGCCAGAAAACGCCTCAGTTTACGTCACTGCCATAAGACCGCGAAGCATGGTGGAGGCAATGTAATGATCTGGGGGTGTTTTTCTGCTAACAGTCTAGGTCCAATACATCAAATCGATGAAATAACGGACCGTTTCATGCATAAAAATATCTTAAAATAAGTTATGTTACCTCATGCTGAATGGAATATGCCAATAAAATGGGTATTTCACCAAGACAACGACCCGAAAAACACTGCAAAAGTAGTCAAGCAGTGGTTTCAAGACAACCATCTATCGGTAATGGATTTGCCGCCTACATTAAAAAAAACTAGAATATTTCTGAACTTTTGTTTTTAAAACATTTTTTTGCTACTTAAGTTTTTATTTTTGGAAAAATCAGAAACTTCATATGACCATATGGAGACAAACCCAGACGTGTTTTAGTGCCGCTGGAGCGGTATGGGCACCCAAAAAAAAGCGCCCAAAAATTATTTTTATTTTTTAAATTTTTTTGCCTTTTTATTCAAAATAGAAGGAAAAAAAAATTTAAGTTTTAAATGCAGTAGTATATAAATAATTTGCAGTGGTTTCAAGACAACCACCTATTGGTGATGGATTGGCTGCTTCAATCTCTGGATCTCAACCCTATCAAGAACCTGTGGGAGATCGTCAACCGCAGAGTTATTCATGAAGGTGTTCGTAATAAGGATCAGCTGTTTGAACAAATTCAAAAGGCCAGGGCAGCAATTCCACAAAGTTTCATTAATTACCTTATCGAATCTATGCTTCAACGGTGCAAGGCTGTGATCGACAACAAAAGATTTGCCACGAAATATTGATAGCAAAAAACAGCTTAGTCAACATTTTGTGGAGTTGCACTTTTTTTGTCGAGAAGGAAATCAACTTTTTTAAATAATTTTGATTAATTTATTAATTTTCGTGAACAAATAATAAACTTTGTGATGAATAAAACTTGAAGAATGTTGTCTCTAAACAGTTACATAGTTATTTCTCTAAATTGAAAAAATGCAGCTTTTTTATATAAAGAAACTAAATTAGCATTATTTGGTTGCACTTGTTTTGTCCAATACTGTATTTATGTCTTCTTGGATTATCATTTACTATTCACCTCTTGTGACCTCTCTTTCTCTTCTAGACTCTTTCTCTTTCTAGGCCCAAAAATGCATTGTAAACGTAGTTGGACCTGCTTTGACTGTTCAATTAAATAAAAAAATTTCCTTTGAGTAGTCATTCAGCAAGGTCTCTTTAAAAAGTCTTCTAAAGTTCAGCTTCTGCTCTCTGAACCCTTTAAAACTCTCTGCCATCTTCATATTTTCCTGACTCATACAACCAACAACTTTTCAAGTCTTTTGTCAAAAGTTTCTTTGCTCGCTAACTCTATTATTTGTTTCCTATTGAGTCCCAACTTAATTGTGGCTCTTTGCAGCTTTGTTGTTGTTGAACTAGAATTTAAAAAAAACAAATAGATAAATCAAGGCTCAACAAAATTTTATATAGCCAACATATGAAACCAAAATCAAGCAAAATTAATTTATGTATATATTAAATATCAGCCTAATATATTGTTACATCGGTCAATGATGTAGAGAGTGAATATATAATACAAACATTTTAAATTTTATGAAATAGACTTTAAAACTACGTAATTTTGAATTTTTTAAATAAATTTTAGAAATTTGTATCCAAAATGCATGATAAAATTTGTACTTTTAGTCAATGAATTACTATTAACTCAATAAAATATTGAATTGTAAAAAGTTATCAATTCTCCCCAAGCCCATTAATAACTTATAAATTTAAATAAACATCACGATTAAAACTAACTTCTATAAATTACGAGTCCCAAATTATTTCCTGATTTATTTAAATGTGGGAAAAAAATAACTATTATAAAAATTTCAAACTTACTCTTATTGTAATTTGGAAACTTTGGGTTTAATGAAACAAAAATTATTTTTACTCGACTAGAAAAATGGCTATCTTTGGCTCGTAGACTCTTAAGGGAAGGAATTTTTTCAAGGATCGCTTCAATCTCATTCGTCATTTTTTTACATGCATCATCAATATCTTCATTAAGAAGATCAAGTTTTGTACCAACAATAATGACATAAAATATCTCATTACGAGCTAACAAGTTCTCAAGCCATGGTTTTAGTAGTTTAGTACAAATTTTCCTTTTAGTTACATCCCAAACCAACAGATATAACGAAGAAGAAAACAAAAAACATGGATGAGTTGCATAGTAGTCTTCTTGCCCTGCAAAATCCCATATTCGAAAATTAAAAGACTTTTTGCGACCAAACCCAATAGATACATCTTGAATATCAATACC